GTGCTCTGGTCCAAGGGGTCACAAAGAGTCAGACACGAATTAACGACTAAACAACAACAACAACCCCAAAAATATACAGGCCTCTTTCAAGCCTCCTAAAGAATATGGAGAATTTTGCCAGGGTGTATACAACCCAGTCAGCAGCACTTTTTGAGGGCTCTGTGCAGGCTAGCACTGCCCTCTTTTCATTCTACTCAGGAGAATGCCAGGACCTTCTTCTCCTCTTACTGTGTCTGACCCAGGGGGCTTCTTCCTCTTCTGCAGAAATGCCTCTGGCAACACATTTACATTTCCAACTACATCTGCAAATATATTTCACTGAACTACACTTTAACTTAACTAAACATCCAATAACTTGAGCAAACGGACTGATGAGAAAGCACCCAAAAGAACAGGGCAAGATGAAAGAGAACAATGTATTAAGAATGAAGACAAGGGCATGGATGAAGCTCTTCTTCCTTTTAAACCATATTCTTTTCATTAGAAATGTCTGAGAAAGCTAGACAAGGAAGAGAAAACTTACAGCACCAAAGTCGGTTATTGTGGAATTTGATAGCAGTTAAAATGTCACAGGGCAGCTGAAATCGGCGGTTGACTTTCAAGGTGCTGACACTCCACGCAATCACTGTCCCATCTAAACTGCATGAGTATGCCTCACTGCCCAAAAGCAAGGATATCCAAAAAAAAAAAAGGAGCAGACTGTGTTACAAAATCTATGCAAAATTCCTAGCAGTTGAAGAAAATCTAAACATACAATCTTTAATCCACTTCATGTGACACTTTGGCCACAGAGGCATTAAAGGGCACCCTCTTTGTAATGGACACCACCTAATTTAAATTCAATAAATGTATTCTACAGCAATGTTCTCCTACGACTACTCACTTCTTTTATATCTGTTGATCAACAGGCTTTTGTTTTTGGTTAGTTAGTTAGTTAGTTAGTTAGTTAGTTAGTTTAGTAGTTAGTTAGTTAGTTAGTTAGTTAGTTAGTTAGTTAGTTAGTTAGTTAGTTAGTTAGTTAGTTAGTTAGTTAGTTAGTTAGTTAGTTAGTTAGTTAGTTAGTTAGTTAGTTAGTTAGTTTGTTTCCTATGTTGATCTCCTTCCAAAGAAGCTTTCTGGAATCCATGAATCATCTCTCTTCCTGGATGCAAGGTTCTGGGGCAAGGGGGCTGATCCCATTTCCCACCATGTAAAAACTATATCATGAGAAGTTGAAGGCCATAGAAATGGTCAAAGAAATGAAGGCTATAGAAATGACATCTGCCACTGGGGGAGGAGGGGAGGACATCAAATTGTCTACCCATTAGTACCTGGCACCTAGAATAATTCTTGGTGCCTCTACAACAATTCTTGGTAAGCGCTATATCAGCGACAAGTCTTCAAAATTAACTATGGCCCCTTAATTTGTCTTATAGTAACATCGGCCCCTGAGGCACCCCCACGTTGCAATCAACTGACCTGGACACACTCTCTTTGTTTTCCAAGATGATGTCCACAACTTCAGACCGATGGTCGTTCAGCTGCTTATTACAAGACATGCTGTGGGTATTGATTAAATAGATGATAGAATCTTGAGAACCGATCCAGACCTGACTTTGCTCTGCCATTACCATACATTTCTGTGTTTACAAGAATAAAAAAAATCAAAACAACAACATCATGTAATATAAAAAGGTCTTTTTCCAAAAAAAGAAAAGGGTGGATCAATTTTTCTTTTCTTCAATTCAGCCATTCTCAATGAGGGCCATAATGGCCCCCCTGGGAGGCCCTGGCACATTTGAAAAGCCCCCTCCCCAAGACTGGAGACCATTCTTCACATACCACCTTATAAGATTCAGTATGCAACTTATACACTCCTGATTTGGCTTCTGTTTCTTTCTTACTGTGTTTACGTTCCTGGCCGAAAAAGGGTGAGAATGGATGCTTTTGCCCATCTTTCTCTCAAGAAATGGAACTAAAGGCAGCTAACAATAAAATTAACGCTTTTAACAAATAAAAAATATAGTAGACCTGCATTAAAATCAATGGCTACAGAAACGTTAAAAACAAATCAATTAAAAGAAAAATGGAAACGAAAGAAAAGGGAGCACCCCACTCTAAGGTCTCTAGACCTTAAGCTTACTGCCTTTTCTAAAATCTCCACCCACCTCCATCTCTCTACAAAGCTTGAAGTATAGTATTCCTGCTTGCTCTGAAAGCAAGAAGGGTGATGTTTTCCCTTCCCCCCCATCCTAAATGTAGCACATCTAGCCAGAATTAATATACATGGCAGTGGACCAAACAAGATAAAAGAAAACATGATATAACGGCTAAAACAAAAACTAGCAGGAATCAGACATTTTGGGAAACTTGAGGAATTAAAACATCTAAGTGCATTTTGGTAATATTTATTTTATTTTAATTATTTTATTATAGAGCTTACAGACCACCTGACTCAGTGAAACACTACCGAGGCAGTTTATATAATTAAGAGAGCCTCGTGACGCAGTCATTAAACTGCAGTACTGCAGCCAAAACTCTGCTCACGACCTGGGGTTCAAATCCCAGGTAGCCAGCTCAAGGTTGACTCAACCTTCTTTCTATCCTTCCAAGGTTGGTAAAATGAGTACCCAGCTTGATTTGGGGGGAGGGGGGAGAGCAATGTGTAGCCTGCATAGTTAACTTGTTAACTGCCCAGAGAGTGCTTTAAGAGCTATGGGGCGGTATATAAGCAGAACACTTTTTGTTTTTTTAAGCAGAGCATACAACCAACTTAAAATACAAAATAAGAGAAGGCATAATACCTCAAACTAAACAGGAAAGGCAACCTAAGATTAACACCTGGTAACTTTAATCAAACCAAATTACATGAAATATAATAAACAAAATATACTTTAGTATAATTTTTTAAAAATCAATGACCATAGTTACAAATATAATGCATGGGTCCCATAAAGTAGCCAAGGATGTTGCCAAAGGCCTCTTGACAGTTCTGTCTTTAATAGTCTTCTAAAGGGAGGTGACCGTCTTTCCAATAGAAGTTTGTCCCACAGCAAGGGTGCCACTGCTTAAAAAGCCTGAGTCCTGTTTTTTATTCCCCTTTGGGGTAGGCATTCTCAATAATGTGGCCTGAGAGGAGTGGGTTGAATGGACAGTTGTCTTTGGAGAGAGGCACTCTTTACAGGGAACAAGGTCCCAAATTGTTAAAGGCTTTATAAGTCATAACTAACACCTTAAATCTCACACAGAACCCAACAGGGAGCCAGTAAAGGAGAGGCAGGACCGGGGGAGAGGTGATCATGTCTTCTAGACCTGGCTGTTGTAGCTTCCTTATCATTTTGAAGGGAACCACCACACAGAGAGTGTTACAGGAGTGAATTCTGGAGATTACCAATGCATGGATCAAAGTCTTCAAATGTTCAAATATTTGAAAGGCCATCCTACAGAGGAGGGGCAAGATCTGTTCTGGACCATCCCACAGTGCAGGACACGCAACAATGGGTTCCAGTGAAAGGAAGCCAGATTTCGGTTGAATATCAGGAAAAACTTCCTAACTGTTAGAGCAGTACGACAGTGGAGCCAGTGACCTCGGAACGTGGTGAGCACTCCAACGCTGGAGGCCTTCAAGTGAAACTGAGACAACCACCTGGCCAATATCCTCTAATTCATATTCCTGCGTCGAGCAAAGGGTTGGACTGGATGGCCTTGTAGGCCCGTTCCAACTTCACGTTTCTATGATTTCTATGATTCAGGGATCTGTCATCCAGATAAGGACACAATTGTCAGGTCAGCCCCCCAGCAACCGGATCTCCATTTTATCTTTTGCTCTTGTTCGTTCACTAGTGCATAAAAGCATCTATGATTTCTCTAAGTTACTCACCAGTTTACAGCTCCCCACTTTAAAACAGTGTTGTATGGACCACGTAGACGCATCAAACACCACAACCTTCCCGTCATTTAAAGCACACCATAATTTTGGATGGGCATCACCATGCTTTTCTGATGGATCAAGTTGTCCTAAGTATTAGAAAGGCCAACACATGTGGTAATAAATAAACTTATAGCGACCACTAAGAAAATGTATTAGCTAAGAAAGATCTAAACATGGTTACCCCAAGGTGACTTGGAAAGAGCATAAACAGGAGCAGTATTTCTTACGCATTCAACGCCGTTTCTGCCTCCCTCAAACAAGATGCCTTGCCTAGAAAGCATCTTCTGTTTTATAAAACCTAGTGTGGCCATGTCTGACAAGACCTTTGGCACCAGTGCAGTTGAAGTACATATCATAATTAACTGAATACTGTTCTCAGAGTGGGGATTATCTGGACCCACATGCCATTTTGCCATAAAGCTCATTAAGTAGCCCCGGGCACGGGTCCATCGATCACACCTTCTAGAGTTGCTAAGAAGCCACAAACATCACTTCCTGGTCATTTCTGAGAGAAGTAACATAATCAGATGCAGTCCCCTCCTCTCCAACCATCTACTACACTCCACACCTGGTGTATAAAGCAAGACTTCCACGGCCTGTGGAAACGTTTCACCAGCTGACGGGTTGATCTTGTGTTTCAGTGTTTCTGCTGTTGTTTTGGGGACCCTCATGGGCACTGAAACAAAGCAAACACATGTTCAAGTTACTGCCATGTACTGGGGAGGCAGAATTTATGAAAATGTGTGAAAGAACACAGGCATGTCAAAAAAGATAAAGAGAAGACACAACAGTCATCCCACGTCCTCTTCTTCTGCCGACAGACTTGGACGGGGACAGTGAAGGACACTCAAAGAGGGCCACGCACTATCCCAGTGCCTAAGTATTCCTCATTTATGCCAATGGTTGCCAATCTCAGATAACTCAGGTGTTCTTGGACTGCAACTCCCAGAAAACCCCAACCAGCACAGATGGTGGCAAAGGCTTCTGGAAATTGGAGTCGAAGGACGTCTGAGTTACTCAAGGTTGGGGACCACTAGTCTAGACTACCCGAACAAATGGGTGAGGATGGTTGCATCGGTATATCAGGGTTACGCATACCATTCTTTAAATAGAGAGCAACATCTCCATCAGAATAATCAAAAAACCCCAACTTACCTTCATTTCTCATCTTGTCAAAATAAGATAGTTTTGAAGCAGCATAAATTATTTTGGAAGACTGCAAGGCACCCACTACGGCATCCATTAGGAGGACATTGGTAAGTGCTTGCTGAATATATTGAGGATCCTGGGAAGAAAAAAAAGGACAAATGAATAAAGCCATGATTTTATTTTGGGTTGTGTCTTTAGTTTTGTATTGCGAAAGAGGTCCATTCTGCATTTTTCCTTAAGAGCATGTATAGTCCTGTCTGAAACCCTTTCAACCCCAGAGTATTTCAAACAGATGGTTTTCTGTATATCCTATGGTTCCATTTGGAAATGAAATAAAAATTTCATTAAACTATTTTTGTTTTTTTATTATTAATTTTTTGGGGGAAAAGGAACTATTATGCAAGGCCACTTAAAAGGCAGGTGTCAATGGAACTCTTGGAAAACGAATCAGTTAATCACTGATATAGCTAAATGCCTTCCCGGACAAACAAAGAAGGCATGAAATTAAAGATTCTCCCAGCAACAAGTCAAGGGCAGAAGGAGATGTTTAATCCAAAATGAGGTTGAGACTCTCCAGAAATACCTCAGAAGCCTTGACATACAGCAGGAAGCCCATATTCACAGTGGATTGGTTCCAAACCCCACCCCACCCCGCAGATGCTGAAAAAACGTGAAACGCTATTTTAATAGGTAACACTCTATTTGGCATGGCTCCCTCTAGTGGCCAGTTCTGGTAACTTCATTAAAACATATAGTTTGGGAGGGGGGGTCTTTCTTTTAATATTTCCAGATTGTGGATCAGTGAATCAGCAGATACCGATCCCACGGATAATGGGGTGCTGCTCTATAACATTAATAGGAAGTGTATGAAGGTCACTCTCTGGAAATCTACCATGCAGAAACCCTACAACAAGGGGCAGATAGCTTTTTAGAGCTGAAGGGGAATTCTAATTAAATTAGGGGGCTCAAAGGCTACACCCCAGAAGTGTCAAGGCATAGGTCCAAGGACACAACAGGTCAGGTGAAATGTAGTTCTTACCAATGTGGAACCTCTCACCAAGCATACAAGGTACAGCTCAAATGTATGCCACACCTTTTCTGCCTGCAAATCACAGTTCTGTTCAAGGCAGCCTATTTAACAACAGGAGATTTGAAGTTTAGATGACTTCCCATATCCCTCTTATCTCCAATCACCGATCAGAGATAAAATAAGCACGCTGAACCAGATGCGAAACCTTCAGGGACCACATCCGAGACACAGGCTGGAAATTCCTCATCTGTGTTCTGTGTTGATCATTCTTATTCTGTTCTCAGATCTGAATATACGGTGGGCAAAGGGAATAAGAGGCTAAAGGAAATAAAGGAGTATTTCGCAAAGGTAAAGGGTGTGTATGTTTAAACCTTTTGACCCCTTGCTTAAAACTCAGATGTCAAATACAACAAAGGAAGTATCGTATTTTGCACCGTTGAGGCCTTCACAGGTAGAAATCTGAGAAAAATTAGTCATTTGGCTGTTTAAAATTATTAATCTTACAGTTGAGAAGGGCTTGGAAGATGTGAATCTGTAGATCAAGAATGTGGTAAAAAGTAAGATTTTAAAGAAACCATTAATGCATATGATAGTTGCCAACAGAAAGTGCCAGACCTTGTAATCATCAGCCATCTTTTTCCCGGCCCACATCTCTTTCACCATCAAGTACCAAAGATCACACTCAGATTTAAGGTTTGCTTCAAAAACTTCCTTTTTGGACACCGTCTTTATCTTCAGAGTGGGAATCCTGAGAAGAAGAAAAGTGACTGTAGTGCTCTTCACGTCCTGTTTTGGAGGAAAACAGAACAATGGAAAACATGTAATTGATGTGAAGCAAAAATGTGGCTAATGGGTTTTGTTGTTGTTGTTGTTGTTGTTGTTTTGCTTTTTCTAGCCCCTTCCTCCCTAAACCCATCAGTTCCCAAACCCTCATTGTCTCATCTCAATTTCCTATACGCTAACATCTTTATACATACAGTATATACTTGTTCTGCCCAGATATGGGGCAGAAGCAGAGGCAGTGAAAAGCAACATGGCAAATGAGCTGTTTATGTACCCTGTGAGAATTTATTAAAGTCCCTGCTTTCATTTGAAGCAGATGCCGAGGCGAATTTCTAGTCTTAGTTAGAATAAAAAAGCCCCGTGAAATGACAGCAGGAATTTATAGTCAATCAAGTTGCCAAAATGACCCCAGCAGTAGCTGCAATAGAACTGAGAATAAAACAAACGCGCTATCATTAAAACTATTGTCGTATTACATATCAGTCCTGCCCCAGATTATAAGGACTACTTGATATATGTTGCCTATTTATTTATTTA